CTACTAAATTCGCATAGAAGCCATGAGTATTTCTGCTAATGTTCTCATGTTCTCGGTGAAACTAAAAGAGCTTTGTTTATTGTTTTTGGGGTTTTTTTTAAGGAAAAAAAAACCGAACAGCAACAACAAAAAACTCCTGGATTTATATCTGTATATATAAAAAAAAAAGAAATCGGAACTTTGGTTTGTTTGTTGGTTTTTTGGGCCATTTTAAGTTCTGACGGGGTTGACACGGATGACGGGGCAAGGTAAGTCCTTTTCTAATTTCCTTCTTGAGTCTTTTGGGAAGGGATCGAGGGGGGGGGAAGAAAAAAAAAAGGCAGATGATAAATACCAAAAGACAGGAGATTCTTCCCACTCCCAGCACGAAAGACATCGGCAGCGTTTCTAACAGAAAGCCCCTCTAGAATTAATGAAGCCAATAACAAGACTTTATATTTGGTGGGGGTTTTTTTGTCATTCAAAGAAGTTCAAGGAAAGGTGTTGTTGGAGTGAAATGTAATCAGAATAAAATATAATAACCCAGAGACGCCGCAATAATCCCGGTGAGAGGGAGGGGAAGACGTTGCTTAAGAGAAAATTGAACGGAATAACGAGCAATTACCAGTACACGCCAAGAGGGTTTTGTGCCTGAACAACCAGTCAATGGATTTACACAGCATGGGGAGAGGGAAAAAAACATTAAATAAATAAAAAAAAAGGAAAAGAAAGAAAGAGATATGATTGGAATGGCTAGCGAGCCCTCCCTGAAATCACCCCAGGCCCCAAGAGTGGGGGAGCCACTCTTCCAGAGGCAGAAAATAAATGTGTGAGGCCGAGCCTGGCTTGGCTTTGCAGTATTTCACTCCAAAATGACAGTCGAGATGAAAAAAAAAAAAAAAAAAAAAAAGGGAAAAAAAAAACCATACAAAACCCCAGGATTTTTGTCCACTGGCTGTTAATTAAACGACAGGAAAAAAAATATTATTAAATATCTTAACAGCTCGCAACTCGCCCAATAACCAGACCCCGCCATCCACGCGTAACAACCCTCCAATAAAAGCGGTAAAATAAAATTCCAAGCCGAGCCCGCGGAGCTGAGGAGGTGCCTCATTAGCACGCTGTGCTAATTGTACCCCTAAAGGCGGCCCGAGCCGCTGCTGGAAGAAACTTTTGTTTTGCAGGTTCAGGAAATTGTTCCCTTGTTTCCCCCTTGTGTAAAAGGAAATCCTATAAAGTTTTATGGAGCTTATTGGCTTCTCCCGGCATTTGTTTTCGCCTGTAAATGGCTGGGAAGACACAGGAGGAGCCGCTCCGCGTGTGCGCGTCTGGG